CGAGGCCCCCCCCCCCCGTGCACCTGCCAGCCTCTGTGCCTGAGCCTCCTGCCAATTTCTGTGGTTTTACAGCCACATTTTCCACTCTGTCCCCCTGCCCTGGTGTGTCTCCTGGATGGAGAGTCCCGTTAGCAGAGTCCCTGAGCCCTCTAGCTTAGCTCCCCTCTGCATACCTGGCACGTCTGTCACTGTGCCCCTGCCTCTGGTACCTCCCCCGTGCTGAGCTGTGGGCGGCCAGGTCCGGTGCTGAGCCGGGCCGGGTCCTGTCCAGGGCGCTGAGCTGTGGGCGGCCAGGTCCGGTGCTGAGCCGGTCCGGGTCCTGTCCAGGGCGCTGAGCTGTGGGCGGCCAGGGCCGGTGCTGAGCCGGGCCGGGTCCCTTGTAATAAGAGACTGTTGGCAGCACTAGGTCCCACCCAGATGCTGCCTCTGTCTGCTCTGCCGAGAGACTAAGTGGCTGAGCAGAGAAATAGAAACTTATCTTTCCTGCTCTGGTGCCCTCTGGGTCCTAATACAGGTGTGATGGTGCTGCCCGTGGGAGCCGGCTGAGGTCACTCAATTAGGGTGAATTGCAAAATAATGGGGGCAGATAAAACAGGTTACTTAGTGGGGGGGAGAGATAGCTCAGTGGTTTGAGCATTGGCCTGCTAAACCCAGGGTTGTGAGTTCAATCTTTGAGGGGGCCACTTGGGGATCTGGGGCAAAATCAGTACTTGGTCCTGCTAGTGAAGGCAGGGGGCTGGACTTGATGACCTTTCTAGGTCCCTTCCAGTTCTAGGAGATAGGATATCTCCTTTAATTTATTTTAGAAGTTCAAACAACACAGTTCCCTTAAAGTGCCAAGCCTCAGGCCTCCATCCAGACACACACATCAGGTATGATGCTGATTACTGAAAATCTTATTTCATCATATAAAAGAAAAGGTTCTTCCAACCCCAAAGGATCAGACCCAGGTCCAATTATAACTTAGATCTGACCCAAAATACACGCTTAGAGCCAATTCTTATTAACTAAACTACAATTTATTAAAAAAGAAAAGAGAGAGAGTGTTGGTTAAAAGATCAATATACAGACAGACTTGAATTCAATTCTTGAGGTTCAGATGCATAGCAGAGATGAGCTTGTAGTTGCCAAAAGTCCTTTTAGAAATAGTCCAGAGGTTATAGTCCAATGTCCATATTCAGGGTGGCTCCAGTCAGTGACTGGGGATCTCAATCCTTGTGGCTTACGGTTTCCCCCTCTTGAAACCCAAAGCAGATCTGAGATGAAGCAGGATCGTGTCCCAGGGTTTTTATACATTTCCAGCAGACTTTCGGCCTGAGAAAACAATAGGCTTAATTCTCCTTCTCCCAAACATCCTGGCAATTAGCACAGGGTAATTTATCCATTACACAGTTCAGATACAGGTACCACAACCTTCAAAGAGACATAGAGACAATAATACTATTTCCCTCAAGTGTCTTCCTACATGTTAATATTCCTTTTTTGATCTTTGAATCAAAGCTATAGCAATAGACCAGACTTGTTTGCTTACATAACAAGACCTGAGCAAACACCTCCCCTTCTACCTCTAACAATGCCGGCTGCATTTCAAAGCTCTATTCATTTACAGATCTTCCTAACCGGTTTCTAAAGTTCAGCCATGGGTCAGGTCAGTCTGTGAGTTAATTAACTCTTTCTGGCCCTGTCACCTTCCAATGAGATATTATATCACACTCCTAACGTCACAACAGGTCACCGTCCGGGCCTTGGGCTCCACGTCGTGAACAGGATCTAGCCTCACGGCTGGGTTGGGCGTCTGCACCAGGCCAGCCGGTCTCCCCATGCCCAGGTGGAGGAGCTGGTACGGATTGGTCAGGAACCAAAGGCGATGGCATGGCAAGGGGGTGGGGGCCGCCCACGCCCAGCTCCCTCCAGTGAGCAGCAGCACTGCCCTGGAGTGGGGGTGTGAGAGGGACGGGCGGGGTGGGGACCATTTGCTGACCCATGTCCGGCTGAGGAAGCTGGTCGCACCAGGCGCTTGAGTGGACGTGTTGCCAAGTCTGCAGTGCCCAGGGCGGTGTTTTCTGAGCCGGCGTCGCGGGTTGTGGGATTTGGGACTAGTTTGCTCATAATTGGCTGCATTTGGGCTGCTTAGATTTAATTCAATGACAAAAACAGAACTAGCTGTAATTCAAACCCCTGGGCCCCAAGCCCTGGGGGCGGTGGCCCGGCACACGTGGATGCCAGGGCCCGGTTGGCGGGGGCGAGGGGTCATTGCTGTCACAGCGATGCTGTGTCAGGGTCTCTCCCGAGGGGGCCGGGCTGTTCCGGCTGAGGCGAGATTTCCGGCCGCAGGGAGAGCCGTGAGCCGTTGGCCATGCTGAGCGCAGGTGGCACTCGCCGGCTCCGCTGCTCCCTGGTGGGACACAAGCTGGAAGTGCAGGTCCTGAGTCGCAGCCTCTCCCCCTGGGGGGCTCCGTGTCTGTGTCCCGGGACCGAACGGCCTGGCTGAGGAGAGCGGGTGGGGACCGGGCTCTGCGGGTGCATGTGGGGGCAACCGGGGTCACCTCACCGCTCCCCTCTCTGCTTTCGATGGCCTTTGCTACAAACAGAGGAGCACTGGCTTGGCCTCCCTGTGGGGATCCTGTGGCCCATGGCCCCCCTGCTCTGTGCTGACCCGGGAGCAGGTCTGTGGGAAAAGGACCATGGGGATCTCCGTTAACCCAGCCGTCCCCTGCAATATGGCCATCTTGTGCCTCCGCGAGCCCCAGGGCTGGCTCTGAGATGTCCTTCCTGGCGCTAAGAGCCAAATTCTTCCCTGGCTCATGACTTTGGGAGTTGGAGACACGTGTCTCACAGCCACACTTGGCCTTAAGTGTTCAGTATCTTAGTGCAAGAGACGCTGTTCTTCCCACAGATGGCCATTGCTACTATCTGTACGGGACTATTCAATAATACATTACAGCCTTATTGGCTGGCCCTGCCCTTTTCCGAACCCCCAGGAGACTCTCCCCAGTTCAGAACGGCACCCAGGGCTGTGCAGGGGGCGGAGTTGTTATTGTTTGCGCTTTGTCGGGGCTTTTGGTGGAGATTCGGTTCCCACTTGCTGAGCTGTGTAGTGCTGGTGTCCACTTGCCGGGAACGTCAGGGAATTAGCTCAGTTTCGCTCCAGAGCTCAGAGTGCTTTACAGACGCTACGTTTTCCATCCCTCCGCTAAAGGAGACGTCCATTTTACAGATGGGATTACTGAAACAGTGATACAGGACATTTCTTGTCTTTTCACAGAAAATCATTCCAGTTTTTGACAGTGCAGAATGTTCGGAATTTTTCCACAGGTTTTCTACAAGGGTATTTCTGCTTTGTTTAATGTCCATAATGGTCTCTCCAGCAAGGTCGAAATGAATGTACAGGTGCTGTATACACAGACACCACCGCTACACAACGTACAGTCCAATGCATAAAACAAACTGAAAAAGAAAAACAGACACTTTTTTGTTAATGTCTTTCAGTTGTACACATCTTAGGTGTAACAACCAACTGTACAGTGTTGTCTCTAAGTCAATGTGGCAGGGCCACACGACGAGTCATTGAATTGAAACTGAGAGAGCACGTCAGGAATCGAAACTGAGAGAGTTGGTGTCCTTTGTTAGAGTCAGTAGCTATACCAGGATGTAGTGTATATTTGGGGCAGCAACCAAACATCTCCTAGGTGTGTACCATATCCCTGGGTCAGTGCGTCTGCACTTCCTTTCCCAATGGCGAGTGGAACCAGAAGCAATTGACCAGTTGGAATATTTGTCATATAAAACTTGGGTGATTTGGGTGAGGGAAACAAAAGCGAGCCTGTTAAACATACTTGTCACCGGAGGGAGAGACTCTTCACATTTTCTAACAAATTTATCACAAAGAAGGGAGTTGTCCTCTTCCCCGTATGAATGCAACAACTCTTTCTAGCTCTCCTCCACTATGTTAGTGATCATGGTGTGGGTAGAATCATAGAATCAGGGAACTATAGGACTGGCAGGGACCTCGAGAGGTCGTCTAGTCCAGTCCCCTGCACTCATGGCAGGACTAAGTATTGTCTAGCCCATCCCTGACAGGTGTTTGTCCAACCTGCTCTTAAAAGTCTCCAGTGATGGAGATTCCACAACCTCCCTAGGCAATTTATTCCAGTGCTTAACCACCCTGACAGCTAGGAAGTTTTCCTAATGTCCAACCTAAACCTCCCTTGCTGCAATTTAAGCCTATTGCTTCTTGTCCTGTCCTCAGGGGTTAAGGAGAGCAATTTTTCTCCCTCCTCCTTGTAACAACCTTTTATGTACTTGAAAACTGTTATGTTCCCCTCAGTCTTCTCTTCTCCAGCCTAAACAAACCCAATATTTTTAATCTCATAGGTCATGTTTTCTAGACCTTTCATCATTTTTGTTAATAATAATAATTAATGGAGATATCCCATCTCCTAGAACTGGAAGGGACCTTGAAACTTCATCAAGTCCAGCCCCCTGCCTTCACTAGGCAGGACCAAGTACTGATTTTGCCCCAGATCCCCAAGTGGCCCCCTCAAGGATTGAGCTCACAACCCTGGGTTTAACAGGCCAATGCTCAAACCACTGAGCTATCCCTCCTCCCTCTTTGCTAGATTCTCTCCAATTTGTCCACATCCTTCCTGAAAGGCGGCGCCCAGAACAGGACACAATACTCCAGCTGAGGTCTAATCAGCGCGGAGTAGAGCAGAAGAATGACTTCACATGTCTTGCTCACAACACTCCTGCTAATACAGCCCAGAATGAGGTTTGGTTTTTTTGCAAATATGTTGACTCATATTTAGCTTGTGATCCACTGTGACCCCCCCAGATATCTTTCCGTGGTACTCCTTCCTAGGCAGTCATTTCCCATTCTGTATGTGTGCAACTCATTGTTCATTTCTAAGTGGAGCACTTTACATTTGTCCTTATTGGATTTCATCCTATTGACTTCAGACCATTTCTCCAGTTTGTCCAGATCATTTTGAATTTTAATCCTATCCTCCAAAGCACTTGCAACCCCTCCCAGCTTGGTATTGTCCGCAAACTTTAGAAGTGTACTCTCTGTGCCATTAGCTAAATCACTGATGAAGATATTGAACAGAACCAGACCCAGAACCGATCCCTGCAGGACCCCACTCGTTATGCCCTTCCAGCAGGACTGTGAACCACTGATAACTACTCTCTGGAAACAGTTTTCCAACCAGTTTTGCATCCACCTTATAGCAGCTCCATCTAGGTTGCATTTCCCTAGTTTGTGTATGAGAAGCTCATGCGAGACAGTATCAAAAGCCTCACTAAAGTCAAGATACACCACGTCTACCACTTCCCCCCATCCACAAGGCTTGTTACCCTGTCACAGAAAACTATCAGGTTGGTTTGACACGTTGTTCTTGACAAATCCATGCTGACTGTTACTTATCATCT